CGATTAAGATTCTTGGCTTAGCTGCTATTTATAATCAGACTGGTCCTAAAAGTTGTATATGTTCCTTTTGTCCAGTTGTTATTGTTTGAGTTTGGGGTTTTAGTAGCGTTAACCCATCGTTCTTTCAGTTCCTATAATGGTTCATCGATATATTTTAATCCTTGGGATCTAGATGCTAATGACGTTGATCTCCATCCACGAAACAAGCGTGGATTTTTTGATGATGGTTTGGAATTTCGTCTCGCTTCACCCAGTTTGGATTATACTAAATTGCTTGGAAATAAGAAACTTGGGGCCTCTTTTGGAATCCTGATAAAGAATTTACTGGATTTAAAAATAGGTATGTACTGACATCTTATATCATTAAGTCCGTGTCTTAGATTACAATCCGTTTTTTCCTGATATTTTTTCTTCTTTATATCAATCTAGCACAGTTCCGTTCTAATGAATGTACTTTAATCTGATCAATGCGTGTCTTGAAACCCTGTTTCTTGGTGGCTAAATTAGAGCAAATTCACAACCTCTTTGGGTTTCACAATTCTCCATTGGGTTCGACATCTTTAAGCTTATACATATACAATAATAATAGTATAAATAGAAGCTTATACATATACAATAATAATAGTATAAATAGAAGCTTATACATATACACTAATAATAGTATAAATAGAAGCCTATACATATACAATAATAATAGTATAAATAGAAGCCTATACATATACAAGAATAATAGTATAAATAGAAGCTTGTACATATACAATAATAATAGTATAAATAGAAGCTTGTACATATACAATAATAATAGTGTAAATAGAAGCCTATACATATACAAGAATAATAGTGTAAATAGAAGCTTATGCATATACAATAATAATAGTATAAATAGAAGCCTATCCATATACAATAATAATAGTGTAAATAGAAGCCTATACATATACAATAATAATAGTATAAATTGAAGCCTATAAATATACAATAATAATAGTGTAAATAGAAGCCTATACATATACAATAATAATAGTATAAGTAGAAGCTTATAAATATACAATAATAATAGTATAAATAGAAGCTTATACATATACAATAATCATAGTAAAAATAGAAGCCTATACATATACAAGAATAATAGTGTAAATAGAAGCTTATACATATACAATAATAATAGTATAAATAGAAGCTTATACATATACAATAATAATAGTATAAATAGAAGCTTACACATATACAATAATAATAGTATAAATAGAAGCCTATACATATACAATAATAATAGTATAAATAGAAGCTTATACAAATACAATAATAATAGTATAAATAGAAGCCTATACATATACAATAATAATAGTGTAAATAGAAGCTTATACATATACAATAATGATAGTATAAATAGAAGCCTATACATATACAATAATAATAGTATAAATTGAAGCTTGAAGTGTGTTTTAGCCTATACACATACAAAAACCAGAAGACCTTGTAGTAATCTTTAAGTGTTCATGATAAGTTAGTTGTAGGGTTATACCATTAGTAGACTTAGTCTGAAGTGGTAATAAGTTTGAAAGGCACTAGAGGACTTTGAATTCTGTTGAGATTAGAATATTAAGTAGCTTGTTTTTCAGCAGTCTATTAAAGGTATACTACCCCTTAGGATGACCAAAGAGATTTAATTTTGTCAGTTTCAAAACTATATGACAAAATCCCTCTATAAATCTATAAAACCAAGTAATAATCAATTAAACTAAGTAATTTTGAAACACGCTTAGAAGCTTTTTTCAATAATGTCTTAGTTTAATGGATATCGTCATATATAGAGATTCTATTCTTTAATCATGGCACCTGGTTAGTCTAACTGATGAATATATAGGCCTACACTTTGACCAAGTTATAAACTTTAAATTTTATGCCCTTTCTAAGAGGTTGTATCCTTTTAAATCTTGACAAGATGTCAGTCTGAACTCATATATCATTCTATTGATAATAAATTTTGCCATATTTTGCTGTATATTGTTTGAAATGTGGTAATACATGTACTTGTGTCATTCATGCCCCAGGTTGAGTTCCAAGATTCAAAATATTTGGAAGGATGGTATTAAATGGAAAATTCTGTCAATTTAAATGCATCGAATAAGGCTGGAGACATCTTAGTTGATATATCTGATACTTTTACAGGATCCTTTACATACTTAACCTTCCCATAACAACAGTAAGGCATGAACATCATGTTAATATCGTACATGGAATTCATTACAAAATTCTGCACTTAATCACTATTTATCCAGACTATAATATTAAATTGAAAACTATGGTAATTTAGTTCAGAAAAACCTATATTTTAATGTTGGCAGATGATATATAGCGTTTCCTGATTCTATGAGAAGAAGATAGAATTTAACAATGCTGAAGGCGCCAACATCATCACCTGCTATTCCCATTTCCTTTTCATTCTTATAAGAATTTTACAAATTTCCTATTGCACATTATAAAGTGGTAATAGCCTGTTAAAAATTTGAAAGCATTATCAAATTGAAGTAATTTAACAGCTAGTTAGACATTGATATATTAAAGATAGGTTCTCTTATTTTCATTTGCTAAAACTGCTAATAGTTATATGAATAGAAAGTAGAGGTTTTCTAATGACATGGAAAAATACCAGTTTGTCTCACATGTCCATAATTAATTCATAATTAGCTAAATTAGAAGATAATTACCAGCAGAATTCCAATGAGTGACCGATCAAGAAAGGTCAAAAAGTCTTTTTTGTCTGTACAGACTGTACAAACATGGATATTTATGATTGGTAAAACTCTTAATTATATGCAATAAGAACATAACGATATGATTAAGAATACATGATAATTCATTAGAAACACCAACTAATCAATTTGACACTTAAAAATAAGAAAAACCCGTCTCTAACACCTTTTAAATCTAATTTATCTCTTTTTTTTTTCAGGGTTTTTCCAAAATTTATCAACAGTTTTTCCCTTATGGTGATCCTAGTAAATTTGCATCTTTTGTTTTTAATGTATTTGATGAAAACAAAGTAAGTGGACAAATAATCTTTTAAGATTTTGTATTCTGGCATGTGTGTTTTTTGTTGAGACAAATTCCTAAAAATGATGTTTAAAACCAAGGAGGTAGGATCATGACAGATTCAACAGCTTAATTGTCCATCTATATATAGCTCAATGTAAATTCAAGAATAGGTCAGAGATCAAATTCCTGCGATCGTCAAAATCCAAATAGCAATTTCTGAAATGTCAAATTTTGCAAATATCTATATTTAGAGCACCCATGCACCTACTGAATGAGATAGATCATGTCACTAGAAACCACATCAAGACTAAATCTGTTTTTTTTTTTAAAAAAGTTTTATAAGAGCTGACAACTGAATATGTGTCTAGTCACAATGTAAATGTAAGTTTGGAACAATAGAACAATATGACTGTTTCAGGATGGATATATAGAATTTGGTGAGTTTCTACAGGCACTGTCTGTTACCTCTAGAGGTAATGTAGAAGAAAAACTCAAATGTAAGTAAATTATTTAGAATAACCTTAATAATCAGGGTAGATATAATGTTAAAATCTGACTATTATATTCTTGTAGGAATTCTTTGACATCATTTACAAACTCCTGCAAGTTTAGAGTTAAAAACCATTAATGTACCTTACTTTTTATACATATTGTATCAATGAATAATTATGAAGTTAAGTCATATGTATTCAGCAGAACATCTGCTTGGAAGGAAGCTTAATTATTTTTTAATTTTAGTGGTTGACAACTGTTAAAAATACCATCATCATCAGTATCCTGGTAGAAATAATAACATTTTAACATATTGCTGTATATTTTAGGGGCATTTAAACTGTATGATATAGATAATGATGGTTTTATAACTAAAGTAGAATTATTAGATATAGTAGAAGCTATTTATCAAATGGTGGTATGTAATCTCTATAATTATATTCTAGATCAACAGTGAGGCATTCTTTTCATAAAGATGCAATATTTCCCCCTTCTGGAATAACTGAGTCTCCATAGCAGATTAAGTTTTACTTACTAAACAGTAATAAGCAACTTTGAGGATTTGACAAACAAATTTACAGAAATATAGTTTCAGTATAACAGAAAAACCAAACATGATAATATGGGACTTTATAGATGATAAAATGGGGAAATGCAGGGTCTTGGTGGATTAATATACATGATTAAAAAAAAGGATTCATTTGGTCATCACTTGGTCTAGACTTGAATTCTTCTGTAGGAAATTAATATAAAATCTTATTTCAGGGTGGTATGGTCAATTTACCAGAAGAAGAAAATACACCAGAAAAACGGGTCAATCGAATATTTGCTGTGATGGATAAGGTAATATTTTGCACCTGTTGTAAATTATTTTCTGTAATATATTGAAAGCTCCAGTCAAATATTCTGACTATCCTTTGGATTCAACTAAGTTTGAAAACGACTACCATTTTCAATCCATTATACCTAGGAGAATTACGTAACTGGTAGACTTCCTTAACCAGACTGCAGCTGACAATGAAAATATATGAAGACAAATGTGTTTGATGACGCTAGTATGTGACGTCAACTACAGCATATTTTTGCGTCATTGACTAGACATCAAAGTAAAAGTAGTCATTTGAAGTCGACAACCTTTAATTGTTTTTTTTACGTCATGGACATTAACTAAAGTAACATATTGCCTTACATAAAATATAGTAACTTCGTCATTCAGCTACATGTATTACATTATAAACATGTGTTTTCATTCATTTTACTTCTTACTAAGTCCGGCGCACACATGAGTCAACGGCTCAGCAATTTGTCTCGCGTTTCGGTTGGCTCAGCCATTTGGTTTCATCGCAGACGGTGCAACTTTGGCTCAGCTGTTGGAACAACAGAACAGGTGAAGTGACTAGATAATGTTTAAAATATTAAAAGTTTACTTCGGCAAGAATTTCGTTGACTGCTTCTGACGCCAACTTGAACAACAGCAGTAAATATCACATAACCGCTTAAACACAATCTGTTGGCTGTTGAGAAAATGCTGATTGAACTATCATCTCACTTTAAGTGCACACATTGAGTCAAACGTCAATCGTGCCAAAAATATTAAACATGATATATTTCTGACGCACTGTCTCATGAGGCAAACGACGCAGTAAAATTTACCCGCACACGGTGAGGTTTCAGTTACTCTGAGCTATTGACTCATGTGTGCCAGACTTAAAACATAAAAACATTGCTTTAATTTGGTATTGAATCAGTATCAACAATAAGTTATTGTGATTTAAAAAGATATTTAGTTGGTAAGTGTCCTTGAAAGTTTCTGAAATTGTTTCCTAGATTGTATCAGCCATTATTCTATTGAACAATAGTGGAGTTCGCAACGCTGATATAAACACTATATCTAGAAATTGATATGAGACTAAAGTTGGTATTCAGACTGATAATTTGTGTAATTATTGTTTATATATTACCTTAGAGAACGTTTTGAGATATATTTATATCTACTTAACTCTTATATCAAATGTCAACAGAATTTTATGTAAAAGATTCTTTCAGACAGAAAATGCTTTGAAAAATTTTTGAATATATAATTAGCTTTGTATTTGATTTTAAAAAAAATCAGAATTGCAGGCTAAATGATAAATTACAATTTTTTCTAAAATGACTGAAAGATTACTGAAGAAGAGGGTGGAAGCCTATCTGAACTATTCCAACTTATTTAGAACTTTATGCAAGCTGTCAGTCAAAATAGCATGTGATTGTAAAATTCTTAACCATTAAGTAAATCATTTAATGGAAAATTTAGCCAATTCTGATTGGATGGAAAAGTGTGTTAGGTTCTATGATATTCTGGTAAAGGAAATAGAAACTGAACAATATAATCTATACTGTACTCAGTATGATATAAGTATACTAGTAATCTATATGAGAGTACTAGAAAAGACAAGAAATAGCTATAGATTATATACAAAATTAATTCTCTTCTAGTCTAGTATTTTCTTTAATCTAATTAACAATTCCAACATCAATCATTGGGCAGAAAGTGAGATATTTGGAAACCTTTTTTTTTGTTATATTTAGAAATCTTTTAGTTCCTTCTAATGGTCAATTTTTGTTTATAATTGGATCACAATAGTGGATAGTGAACCATTGCTAAAAATTTCAACTGTTTTTGTGATTGGGCGTATATTTAAACACCTGATACCTCTTAAAATAAAATGATTCCTGACTTTCCATTCTGCCTACAATTAGGGAAAGTCAAAACACATAAATCAAGAATGGTTAATGTTCACATATCCAAGATAAAAAAAGCAGTTCGATAAATATCCTTCAGAAAGATAGTGTATCTAAAAAATGTTGAGCTGTGCTTTTAGAAACAAAAGTACTGTAATTTCTAAAACATATAAACAACTACATGTATATGATAAGTCCTTGTTCAATTAGTTGTAGAGGTGTCATGAAAACTTCCATTTCGTTTCATTTAATTTGAAAGTTAATTATTATCATGTTTCTCATTGTGTCATTTTGTCCTTCTTCTAAATTAAATATCACACCTTATAATTAGTTTAAGCCATTGTCTATTAATTATAAGGTAGTTTAATGAGACAATCCCAGATGTTTTTTTTTTTTATTTTCTGTGTTGTTGAAAATGTATGTAAAAAAAAGAAAGTAAAATGTTTTAGGTATTAATATTCTATAAAATTTACAAAACAAACAAACTGAATAATTATTGTGAATTGACTGAAATGTTTTGAATATTTTTCAGAATAAAGATAACAAATTAACATTTGATGAATTTCTGGAAGGTTCAAAGGAAGATCCAACTATAATTCAAGCATTGACTCTATGTGATGCTAGTCGAGGATAATATACAATTGGTATAGAATCTTTTTGTACATTTTTCATTTAAACTGATGGCTGAATGGTTGACTGGAATCTCACGTCAAAGATCAAGTGTTTTGAAAATATCGTGTATATAAGAATGAAGTTTAACTTGAACTCTAGAATAAGCTATAGTGCTGGAAGAGGTGTGATTTTAGTGTATTTCATTGGATTTTTGACAGTTTGTGATATTGGAAAATGAAGAGAGACTTTTCTTTATCATTGAGGTGACCATGAATTTGCTCATAATTTCTGTGTATATATTCTATGTTTTAAATTCAATAAAATCTCAAGATGTTTCAAGATAACATGTATAACCTGTAAAAAGGTTGAATATTTTGATGTGAAATAGAAATATATTATATGAGGTACATGAATTAAATATTGGAGTATAATGATAGAGAACAATATGGTGCTGATTTATATACTTTAAAGAAAATAAATTTTCAATTAGAATAGGAAGAATAACCAATAAAAAACTTTCCAATGACAGACACCATATGAATGAACTATAATTTATGTTGATCATCAAGGATGCACTTCATCTCACAGCAGCCTGATACATGTGCCTGTGGTGTCACTCTGAATTTTGACAATTTTTCTGAAGGTTGATATATCTTTTAGTCATTATATTTGACAATGTCTCTTCACCTGTAGATCTCATTTCTAGGCTCAGAATCTGTTAATTTTACATTGACATGATATTGTCAGAAAGATTTGGATTGTATCTAATAACCTAATAATCTCCTGTGCTCAATACTGATAACTGTCACAATGTGACTTCTTTATATTTACTATCTCACTGACTAGATAGATGTGTTACTCTAGTAAATTTTGATGCCTATAGAATGTACAACATATTTCTAATACTTGTGAAATTGCTAAATATAGGGTTATGTGAATAAATTTAAGGATGCATATTCAAATACTCAGTTGAATTTTTTTGTCATATCCTCCCTTGAGCCAGCTCTCATAGATTGCTGTGATCTGCTAATCTTTTCTTTATTGGAATGGTTGGTTCAGAAAACCTGCAAAGTTGAAAATTCATCAAATACAACTCTAGGTAAATAAGCTACGTTACAAAATTGAAAAGCAAGCAACATTTCTATGTGTAAGGCGACAAACAGGGTACAATAAATATTTTCACAAAGGTATTCAAAAACTATTATGTAGTATTGTAGGCCAAGGATGTCTTGCCAATATCAACTGTGATCAAATTATGGTTTATGACAATATAGTAATCTTTGTCATCATTCATAATCGTGTGATTATTAAGTTAAGATATAATGAAGTGAATACATTTCTGAGTACTTTATGGAAGAGAGAATGGAAGATAATATTTTAATTTTCATCAAAAAAATAAAGGAAATAAATTAATGAATTCTTGCCATTGGCTTTAGATTTCTATAAATTATTGGAAATGAAACAAACCATTATTATTTTTTTGATATTATTAATATCAATATCATGACTTGTGACGCCATCTGATATCAGATGACATTCTGTCTCAAGGCTATATGGCAGTTAACATTTATAAAGAAACACATTACGATTAAATTACATTGTATGACTGTCTTCTAAGACATTGATATTTATTATTTTAAAATATTCTAATCTATTTAACTGTTTCTTTGTTTTAATGTATAGAATACACTTCTAATTTGAAAGTATCTTATTTTATAAGGTTGTTTAGAAAGGTTCATATCATGAAAGTACATTAAAGTACAGCATATGTTTTAGAAAGGTTAGTTGGAAATATTTACAAAGAGTATACTGTATATTTCATGATTTATAGATCTGCTGCTTGTCATTTGAACATAAATTCAATAACAAAATAGCCTTTTTAACCATAAGAAAGAGTGTAATGATATATGGTATTTCACTACATACAGAGGCTTAATTGTTGAAATCTGAACTACATTAAGCAGGCCATGTCTTCAGGATGCCTGAGATGGCTCTGTATGGCAAGCTCTCCACCAGTCCCCGAGATGAGGAGCGTTGAACTGAAGATAAAAGGACACTTTTAAAAAGACGCTTGAGTCTGTCTCATTGACCACTGCCACTGGTCAACTCTTGCTGAAAACCACAAGGTCTGGAAACACATGACCCATCAGGTATGACCCTTTGAAGAATCTCGCTAGGCCAGTCTGCAAAGTAAGATTTAAATAATTCATATTACAATATATGTTACTAGTGGCAATATTTTCAACCATATGTTAGTTATTATAATTAAACTTTAAAAAAAAGTAAAGTCTTATCTGGTAGTTAGCTTTAAACATTACAAATTATACTTTCATAGGAAACATATGTTAAGATATCATTCATTAGTTTGTAGTTGCACATCATTTCTTATTTATCTATTTGTCTTAATGTTTAATCTTTTGGTTTGCTGGTTTTCATTTAAGTTTTACAGTGCCCTATAATTTTATATTGCCCAATTATTTTTATTTTTTAATGTGTCTTCATAAGATCAGGAGACAAAAGTATCTGAGATAAAGGGAAGTAACTGTTGTTTGTTTTCTGTGTTCAGTTGGAAATATTTTTATTAAACCATTAATTACTTGTTAACTTTTTAGTGGTTTTTCAATTACTAAAGTTTAGTGTTTTATGTCAGCATTATCACAATATATTTCAAGCAACTTTACCTTGGTAATAAAATTCATAGTGGAATTGCAAGAACCACAGATGTCTGACTGAAAATTGGAATTGTGCAAATCAGTGTGCCGTGAACACATTATAAGTTTAAAATCCTCTTAACAATCCCTTTAAGAAAATAAGTAAAAGAAAATTCATTTCAAAACATTAATAAGTATATAAAGCAGGGTTTCCCTTCCATGCATGCGAGTGTGGTGGTGTTTTCATTATGCCCAAAGCATGGCATTGCAAGTCTTCATTAACCCAATTTGGATTGGAAGGCAGAAATTTCATATTGGTCTATAAAGGTCATGTAAAACTACTTTAGTGTAACCTTAAAGTAATATCTTCTCTTTAAATAGTTAATTAAACAACAGGAACAGTCACTGTTTAAGTATGTTTCATATATTATATGATAATAAACCATATTTTCTATCATATCTAATTTTTGTTTTTTTCCCACTCCATGGTTGATGTGCCATTTAAGTATATTCTATTTCTGACAATGTCAGGCATTTATCAAGAGTATAAGTATATGGCTAAAAAAGTTTGATATGTTCCTTATCTCTGTATGTGGTTCATGAATATTTTGACCAGCTTAAATAGGATAGTCATGTTATATGGGCAACTAGCCTGAAACATCTGTCTTTATTCCAGCCTCTGATAGTTATTTGGACAGATGTAAGCTGGTGTAGAGACAGAAATAATAAGAACTGTTAAATAGGGACATTCCGCATCTCTGAAGGTGCGTTTTTTTCTTAACTTATTTAAATACCTCGGATCTGCAAATCCCAGGTATATTTGGAAAGATGAATATTGTTGTAGTTGTCAAACCGTCATGTCTCCGGTTCCATCAAAGTTTTTTGATCTAGCATCGGCCATTTAATACTGCATGCACAGCCAAAAGTTCAAAGGTCACCAAGTCACATGATACCAACAGAAAGAAAGTTACAGTGATGCCCAACACCAATTTACAATCATCTTAAAGGTAATTCAATATTATGTCAGAGAAAATGTATCTTTGGAGGTGTGGAAAATCCCCATTTAACAGAGTCTTTTTCTTCTGCATCATACACATGCTTTGGAATATTTTCAGTTATTTGCTGGGAACACACATACCAGTCATAATCTTTTTATATGATTTATTTATTTGCTTTACAATTAATTTTTACAGAATAACAAATATTTCACAATCTGTATATGAATTACCTCCCTCCATTTGAATATATAGCATACTGTTATATTTACATGTATAATATTCAGTCGTCATTAATCCCAATATCAAATATTATCAATGTTTAACATGAAGTATATTTAATACCAACATGTATAATAGATTTCAGACTGTATGCTAGTTAATATTAAATTCAAATTATACACCATGTTAAACTGTTATGATGGAAAATAGTTGAAGAAAAACCAAAGAATCATGTTTTCTTTATGATATGTAGTCACGTGAATTAAAGGAGATTAAGCAATTCGATACATAATAAAAAAAACTCTGTGCAAAATAAAATGGACTAGATCTTCACCTAGTGAGTTATCATATTAGTAGTATACCAAATGTGAAAGCAAGCATCATAGAGAGAAGAAATTATCAATGAACCCAACAGTTGGTACCAGTGACAAGAGCTAACTTTAATAGTTTACAAGGATTATAAGAAATAAACATGATTATATACAGATATATACAATAATATAATACAATAAGGGTTGGTTGGTAGATGACAATTTAACATATATTCGCTTCCAGCAGATGCTGATATCAGAAACTAGGTAGTTGTTGGTAGTCATAGTAGTAGTTAATAGTTGGATTTAATAGAATAAGTTATCAATCTGATTAAAATACAGGCTCAATGTTTCTCTATGTCATGATAATCTTAACACATTCTCAATATTGATAGTTCAGAATTGAAATATTACTCAACCAATCAAATGCTTTGTTCAGTAAAACTTGACTAGATATGTATAGAATATGACTAGACATAACCATAGCATCTGGATATAGTTGCATGTCTAAAATAACTTGCATAACATTAAGAGCTGTATTTTAATCAATTATCAAATAAAAGCTTAGTTTATATAAGATAAATAATAACACTTACATATATATATTACTTCTTCCTGTAATTTTCTGAATAGACTTGAAGTAGTACATACATTATAGTATTCTATATCTGATGATCTTTCTAAAGGTTATAAGAACTTAATATCAAGTTAATATGAAATGAAATGAATGGAGTTTTACGTTCTACCAAGTTAATATCAAGTAACTACATCAACTATCAATCTCCCAATAGGAGACTTCATACACTGATATGTTGAATAGTTGTATCAAATAGAAAGAAATACAACATTTATAAAGCACTCAAACGAATTTATTGACCTTGAAGATTGGCCGTAGTTGCTTCGAAAAATAAGATAGCTTGCCAGGCAATGTAATATATGCCCACTGACAGCTGGCAGAAGTGTTAATTCACTCCATAAAACTCAATTATCAAAATGCTAGGGTAAATTTATTCAGTTATTATCAAGATGAGAGAAAAATATAACTTATAATTACACAACTTGCAAAATACTGGCTTTCTTTTTTCTTAAAGCTTACACATATATATACATGGCTTTTAACCAAAAATAACATATATCAAGGTGGAGTAAAATACACAATCAGGTGGTACTTTGAAGTTTTGAACAAGATAAACTCTCATTTTATGTGTAATGTTGAACACAACAAACAAACAAACAAACAAACACATTATGTACATGAGTAGCAATATACTGAAACCTTATAACAATTGACTTCTTTCACTTATCTATACAAAATGAACACTTCAGCTAGCAACTTCTAGTCCATACAAAGTCTGTTTTACAGGCCTTTTTTTCAAAATCGAGGCAAGTGCGAATTTATTATTTATTATTTATAAGTGCTTTTTTAGATTTTCAATAATAAATGGAGCAAGCGAAAGCATTTATCATTTATTACCACAAATTTAATGTACATTTAATATTAAGGCAACAATCAGGCATTTTTAGGCCTGTAAAACAGACTATTTATTTTGTATTTTGTACACAAATTGGATAGATTGAATTAAGTTCTATCAGATAGTTTAACAAATACTGAGTCAACTAAATCCTTTTAATATCCATAAACTTTACATGCAGAATGGTTAAAATTTTGTGATATTGCGAAATTCAGTTTGATATGCATGTACCAACCATAATCCATATATTACTGAAATATATTTACTTTAACAGAAAAGAGCAAAAAACACAGAGACTAAAACCTCTAAATGCAATAAACAGAAATGGTCAAATACAGACATGTCCGAGATACATGAAAAGTATAAAATAGAGTTTATAATGGAATTGCCTAGTTTTGAATTTTGGAATGTATAGAAATTCTATACTGGATGAGACATTTAACACGTAAACCAGTTATCATGGATACTGAACTGCTTGTAGGAGATTACCAAAATACCAAATATATTGTTATATTACTTATATTCTTTGAATGTAATGCGAATAAAAGGGATTGTAAAGAAGTTTTCCAGCATTTTTTAGGATTTCATGGTCATTCATTCCTCCTATTGGTATCATTTCAATTTACCATTCAATGCTTTAATGGATATAACATCACAAAAGTTAATAAAATCTAGCGGCTTTTGCACGAGGTATGTCTTTAATTCTTAGTTTAGCCTAGTGGAATTGCAGGAACCATAGACGTCTGATTGAAATGGGAATGATGTAAATTGATGCTATCAGTGTTACTGATAAGCATAAAAAGCTTCTTTAGCATCCTTTAGGAGTCAGTCACAAACAACAAAATTTTACAGTTATTAATAAAAGAAAAAATTTTTCAATCAAAGCAACAACATAGAAAAAGTCTTATTGATGATATGAAATGTTGTTTCTTCCAGTCTCTTATCTAACATATAACTTCAGCTAAGAGGAAATAGGTTGAAAATACATACATGTTAAAAGCTACCACACATCTTTCAATTATAATATAATACATGCACATCGAGCTCGTTACATAGACCACAAAATTATTTGCAGGAATTCTATTGAATAGTACCATAGGCAAAAAAAAAACCCATTTCAAATCAAAGTTAAAACATCATTTGACAGAACGAAAGAAACAACCAGGATAATAATTTGACAAAACCTCTTAGAATTGGACTTTCCTGAATTGTCTGTATACACTCACAGCTGGGTCAACTGGAATTTTTTTTAGGAAAGATGAGTTATTTAAGGTCATTCAAATTTCACATGCTGACCCAAGATTAGAGCCCATGACTGCCATTTGTTCAACTTAAAATTGAACATTTTTGAAAGAATAACCATTGATTTCCTTGCTTTTCAATTTCATAACCAAATAGAGTCAGTAATAAGCCCAACCCTACTAACAGGTTCCTATTTAGTACTATTTTTTACTGAAATATAATTCATAATTTTGTGATCTATGTAACAGTGGAAGATAATGGTTGAGAAAACAATAAATTAAAATGAGAATTATTAAAAAGAGAAAACTAATCATACTCTAAACTACTTTCACGCTGTTTAATTCCAACGTTTTCATCTGGTTTATTCTCTGATAGATGTTGATTGACTTTACTCAGACCATCTGTAGTACCTGTCTTAGTTAAACTGAAATAAGAATCATAAATCATTATACCTCAAAATAGACAATTAGCAACATCAGCAAGTAGTTGTTTAAAATAGAGAACTTGTTTTTATCATCTCTGAATCATGTATAAAGTGGATTCAAACAATATCTTGTATTCTCTGTGATCAATATAAAGGATTAGTTTTGCAGCTTTATTATTAACATCAGTAGAAGTTGTTTCATCAAAAACTATATAAGTTTATTGCTACATCATATAAGCAGAAGTTTTATCAGTATTTTATCTTTTTTGCGTGAATTCATTTTTCATTTGAACCTCATTTGATAATAAGCATTGAATACAATAATACATACACTTCTTCCATCTCTATATCCTCATCAGAATCTACTGGTACTTGTAAATATGGATTATCAGTAGCTGGTTGAAATTTATAACCAGTTACACAGAAAAATAAAAATACTGCTATTTCTTTAGAGAATTCTTTTAACCATTCATGACGGAATGGAAGTGTTATCTGAAAGTTATCAGTGAATTTATATTTATATATATATATTCAATAGTAGTAATAATAATTATAATAATAAACTCTTTATTTTACAAAGGTCAGATCCATTATACAACATAATAACATAGAAGTTCCATAGAATTGGTGCTTATTCTTGCCGTACATCACCATTAACAGTTATCTATACCATTTCTCATCCAAGTGGAAACTCAACCACATTTAATGCAAGTTCAGCAACGATTTTGACCTCTCAAGACAGCAGTATTACTAATGGAGATCACCAAGTTTAAAAGACTTAATCTAATATCTAAAGAACCCACTTACCTCTAATAAATATACTATCATTCTAGTAAAATAAATATAACATACGACCTAAAAATACACGACGTCAAGTGATTATGTATAATACAACTTAAATATGTATAATTCAACATTAATCACATTAGTAATTATCAATATCACATTTAGTAACTTAAAGCTTCCTTCACAGAAGACACTGAGAACCACTTTTCCTGCAAACCTATCCTCCTTAACTAAGTAAAAGAGACTTCCCCCAAAATAACAATTTAGAAACCTACCAGAATATAAAAATGTCTAAATAATTTCAATTTATTTAAATTCATGGCAGCTTTACCATCAACACCTGAGGCTTCTTGTAAATGTCTGATTGACCTGAAATAAAAGATAGGAAAAACATGATCACATTAAATATTGGACAGATTATCATCAGTCAGCTTTTTATCTTCATATTTTCGCACATCTAATCCATTTAAAATAGATCATCAAGTAAATTGCATCAACTGCAAATAATGAATGGCAATGTAGCTCTATTTTCCAGATACAAATAAATAAGTTTAAATGCAGCTTTTGGACTTTAAAACAGAAAATCAAATGGGCATTATGATCTTATTATATCTGTTTTTTTTGTTTTACTTGTACAAGAATATCAAATATCACACAAAAAAAAGACCGGAAACGATCATTTCAACAACCTCTTTATCATCTATTACAATGATGAAGTAATTTATATAATAAACTAATAATGTACTTGTTGTATTTGACTATAAACTTACCAGACAACAGGGAAGAGAATAGCTCCACAACATAATAAATCTACTACAAAAAATATCTGTTTCCAGGTAGTATGTCTAGATAAACCTTCATCACTCTCTTCTACTATAACCCATGCTACCTGATCTAATATCTATAATATAATAAAGCATACATAACATTAGTCAAGGTAACCCACGCTACTTGATCTAATATCTATAATATATGATCCACACATGGTATAGTTAACTGTTATACGTACAGGACAGTGAAGAGACAAATCTGTTTTAATAGCAGTGAGATCAAGGCTGTTGCGTAAGAAGGACAAATATAGCAAATTTCTCAAATTTGAAACGACTTCAATCCACCAAGACCCCCCCTTTGCCTCATTTTAACTTGGATTGGTTTTGCCAATTTGATTTATGATAAGAGCATTCTGAAAGTCACCAAAACTTTCATTTTCATCATAACCATTAAACTTTTGTTCCCTACAGCCCACAGCTGGACCTTAATCTACTGATTATGAAAGATGTACATAAACTGATGCTACATCTAAATAATTAATGATAATAATTGCACTTTAAACATTGCATAACATAATCTATCCTACTGTACCTGTAAGGGAAGAAATATAGCAAATAATTTCTTTTCTTTTTTACTCAACATATGTTTAATAAATGCCCAGCCTGCACCAATTAACAATATAGTACCAAACATTAGAGCACCACGCATTCTGAAACATAGATTTAGTAATAATGACTGTTTGAGTCGACACCAAATTAACTTTCACAAGCATTGGCATCATCGAACTTTCTTACTTTGAGGACTCAAAACTGAAGCCACCAATTTCCTATTAGCTAACAACCAACTTAACTATGATAGCCTTCGGTGATAAAATTCTGTACAAGCAAAACAATTCTGGTAACAAATCTTGAGCAATGTAAAGTTAGAGGTTACAATTGTATTCGCAAATTCCAAAACAATTTTTTTTGCATTAACTAAATCACCTGAACACAATATTACCAACCAAGGTTCTGTTTATCTTGTTTTTATTATATCTAAGATTATGATTCTTTTAAAAAGTTTTGAAAGAAAATATAACAATACTTACAAATATACAATATACCATAATATAGCCCAAGCTTCTTCTGGTATACCAGACTTCTCTATAAAATGACTGTTTATCTGAAAACACATAATATATGTAGTAATCCTAGAAAGAACTATTTATGCAGCAGGACAGACATTCCTAATTAATTCATTGTTTAAGGTTGAAGAGAGGATTATAAAGATTCTATAAAAAGACAATTACAGTATCAAAATGATAAAGTTTCTCTATTTTGTTTTACCAGTCAATGGAATTTTAATGAATATGATTAAACGTCTGAAAGGTGACCAGGGTAACTGGATTTAAGTTTAAAACCAATAAAAAGATGGTACATCAACCTAATAATGCAATTCAATTAATGTATCTCCATGTAAGCCACATATTAACGAATTTTAAGGAATGAAAAAGAAATTGCTTAACTTACCCCATGAAATAAACATGATAAACTTTTAACCCAAACTACTGCTAACATTAAATAATGTATTTTAAATACATCAGATTTCCTGAAATAAAATTATTATTGAATTAAATTGGTAACTGAACCACTTATTATGGTCATCTTGAATCAGTCTTGTAAACATTAAAACTATAATGAAAGATGAAGTTAGTACTGGCTGTTATAAGTCACGTCATGCAATGTTTTATTTCATTTACACTCATGGTTCTAAGGGTTAGAGAAATAGTTATACCTATTTCATGTCCAATTAACTATAACACAGTAGGAGATAAGTGGAGTCTGCAGAAAAAGTACGAAACAAAACATCCTGATTTTCATTTATATTTTAAAATAATCTGAATTTGAAAGGGTTGGACACTAAATAAAAATAAAACAATAGTTATAAATACATACTCAGATCTTCTCAACACCATTAACCAGGCTCCACCACATGTTAAATATAAGATAAAAAATATAAAGAATAGAGTAGGTTCAGGTTGATTACCAGCTGATAAATAATTACCATTGATTACTTCTATAATATTCATCTACAAATATACATATATATTATATTACACAGGTAAGATAGTATACACAATTCAATTAAAATAGTCAAATATTTGGCAGAATAAATTGAATGTACACAGGAACAAAAAAAAATATGTATTCCAAAAGAAGAACACTTTGCTTTGATCTTTCCTGGAATATCCCGATCCATTTACTGCTGGTTTGTCAAACAAAGTCAAAGTTTAGAAAGAGGTACCAAGAAAGTGTAGTAGAAGATGGAAGCAGTGAGAAGAGAACATACATCCTTACAGTATAGTGTCTCCTATGTAAAGAACCTGTCAGAGTCACAAGTAAATGATATATTCATTAGAGTGTATCATTAAACTGAAAATCTTTAAAAGAGTTGATATAAATAACTTACAGACATAGACATAGTGGATTCCAGATTCTTTTCATATTGTAAACAATTGTGAAAGAATAAATTATATAATCCTTCTTCATTTCGATTCTTGATATGCACCAAAAACTGTCAAAA